TTTTTTTTGAAAAGCAAATTTATTTCAGGTTAATGTGAGAGTATAAACACCCAGAGCAAAACATTTTTGTTAGGTAGAGTCCCTCTTGTGGTTATGTCTCCTACACAAAAGGTGTGCCAAACACCCGTACCCCATGACCATTCATTGAGCACACCCCACCTCTTCCCCCTCCTTGGTTACCCTTCCCCCCAACGTGAATTGAAATTAGTTTTTCTCCTGTATGAGCATGCATTAGATCATCTACTGGCTTCATATTAGTATTGAGTACATTGGATAATTGCTTTTGCATTCTTGTGACACTTTACTAAGAAGAATGTGTTTCAGAGCTATCCAGGATATTACAAAACATGGGACATCACCATCTTTTTTATGGCTGAATAGTATTCCATGGTATGCATATACCATTTGTAATCCATTCCTGAGTTGATGGACATTTAGGTTGTTTCTGCATCTTGGTGTCTGTAAGTTGAACTGTGACAATCTAGTGCAAAGGACCTTATGATAAAATGATTTTCTTTCTTCTGGGTAGATGTCTAGTAGTGGGATTGCATGGTCAAATGGGAGGTCTAATTTGAGTTCTCTGAGGGCTCCTCACACTTCTTACCAAAAAGGCTCTATTTGTTTGCAGTCCCACCAACATTGTAAAAATGTTCCCTTCTCTCCACATCCACACTAGCATCTGCAGGTTTGGGAGTTTGTGATGTGGGGTTCGGTGATACCTCAGGGTAGGTTTGATTTGCATTTCTCTGATGATTAGGGATAATGAGCATTTTTTTCATGTGCTTGTTAGCCATTCACCATCTTCCTTAGAGAATGTTCTGTTCATGTCTCTTGCCCAGTGACAGATGGATTATTAGCTCTTTTTTTTTTGTTGATTTGAGTTCTCTGTAGATCTTATTTATCAAGCCTGGAAACTGTTATTTTGAACCACTGGAAAAAGAGTGCATTTTGCATCAGATTTTGGATGTGCTGCATTCTGTGTCCCCCCTTGAAGATTTATGAAGCACTTTAATGTAGTGATATTCCTACAGAAAATATATTTTTGTTTAATTTTGGCTTATCCAATGATCTCAAGCTTATTTTGGGTATAGAACTCATCAAGTAACATCCTTTGGAACCGCATTCTGTAAGATATCAATTTTGGCAGTGATGCATTACTCTCTCATCCCAGGATTACTCAGCAGCTGAGCAGGCTGGAGTGAAGTCACCCTCAACATCCCTCCCTTTCTCCAGCTCTTCTCGGTTTGGATGGTGATTTTGCTTTAGTTGTGACTGTGCTTGTATTTGTCAGAGGGGGAATAAGATAACTTTCAAGAGATTGATAAAGTGATACACTTAGAATTCTATTTGTTTTCCAGTTTGAGGATTAGTGAAGAGATTCAGAAACTTAGAGTTTTGTCTCTTGTTTCTCATGTCTGTTTTTTCTTTACATCATCTCCATTATTGGGTTGGAATGTTTTCTAGGGGGCTGAGGGTCACCTAACCTAGGAAGGTGGAAGGAAAAATCCACATCAAAGGACTTGATGTAAAAGGTGACTGAGCTGAAGGTGCCACAGTTCACAGGCAGGATTTATGAAATCTGACTGTGCCTTATACTTCTGTTTCGGGGAGTTCTGTTATACGAAGTCTGGAGTGAAGAGCTCCGGGTGAAGGTTCAGGATTGTGGTTGATTGTTGGCTTTCTCCAGGACATCTAAACCAAGGGAATAGCTGTCCTCCAGGAGGGCTTTTGGGAGGTGAGTTCTGCATTCTTCCTGACTCTCTCGGGTCTGGGGGTGGAGAGGAGGCACACGGAGTGTTCTCTTCTGTCATCCCTACCATGTCTCCCATCTTATTAGAAAACAGAGAAATCAAGGGTGGGTCTCTCTCTTCCCAAGGATTTGAATATAACCCAACCCTGCTCCTACCCTAATGACCTCCAGACATATAGAACTGAATGCCAGCCCTGAGTGTTAAACTTCTGAGAGTTAAATGGACACTTCAAGCTTAATATGAAAAAAATCAAGCTTCTGAAATTCCCCCAGAGCTTTGTCTCACCTCCTTCCTTAATTCTTATAATGCCAAGTTCTGTTCTGTAGCTCAGGTCGGAAACCTCGTCCGCACTGATTTTTCTTTTTTTCACACTTAAATCCAATTTGTAGATAATGCTTTTGGCACTTCCTTTGGAATGCATGCAGAGTTTGATGACTTCTCACACCTCCAGTGCCACAACCCTGCTCAAGCTACTGCCATTTATTGCCTGATTATTGCAGTAACCTCCTAACTGGAGTCCTCTAACATACTAGAGGTCCCCGGCCAAAATGCAAACGGGCCAAACATACTTCAAGTCGAGATATTTATAACACATGTCAAACTAACAAACAATTATTTAAAATATATTCTATCCTATTTGATATATATGCCTTTTAGCTGAAAAAAATAAAAATGAAGCTGTGATTTTTTTATATGACTGACAGTAAACAAAATATCAGTGATTACTGAATTATTATTGTGTGTGTCTGGGCATCCTATTAATGGGCAGGTAATGTTTTGATGAGTAACAAGATAAAGCCATTAATTCAAGAATTACATATTTATCCCAGGATCTTGTTTTTGAAACTTAATTTAAGAAAAATACGATG